TGATACAAAGCAGGCTTTCACTAAAGCTTTGTCTTAACTACTTAATCAGATAGATCCCTGAGTAATTCATCTCACTGTCAAAATATTTACAGATTCCTTGTTGAGTTAAGACTATTTTGGAATGACTTTTGGTAGAGAGTATTATGTAGTCATAGAGCAGTTCGCTGCCCAAAGGAGCCTCTTCTCTCAACTACTTGTTTTGCTCTTTTCATTAATCCCTGGACGGGGATTAGTCATGAATTAAAAAAACCGAGTTGCTAACCGAAGCACCTGACCTATTGTCTGTAAAGAAAAAGACACTGTATATGAACTGCATATTCAAAGATGACGCAACCACTGGTGTCAGAAAAAGAAGGATCTTAAACTCCGTTGAAAGTTTATTCTCTATGCTGACATTAAGAGGGGTGTTCGGCGACCATTGATGATTTTTAAATAGCCAAAAAGACAATATCTCATAATGGTGACATGTTGATGCTGGTCATCCAATCTAACCATTTATTCCAAAGTGGTAAGTAGCCTGACAAAATTAATCAATATTCACGCTTGTACTGAGAGATGGATAGAAAACTGGGAGACTTAATTAACTCCATTTACTTTCATTGCTGTAACTTTTGAGAATTCAAAGTATCCTTCTACTCCTACGCAATGTCAATTGTGTTTCTGCCTTTAGGCCCAATGTACAAATAATTCACATATAAGACATTTTTCATTATTATGCAGCTCCTTGTGCATAGTTGTTCCCTTATTTTTTGATTAACAGACATTATACTAAGAAACTTTGAATTTCTTTCGCTCGCTATGACGTATTTAAGGTAGAACAGAACTGAACTCATGGAATTCATGCAATAAAATTGGATGTAGCTACGATTGTGTAGATGAAATAAACAAACTGACAAAGAAAGTAACTTTTTCGAAATACGACTTAACATTTTCCTACATAGTTTAGTGGACACTATTCGTGATTTGAAAAGCAGATCAACCAATTCAGGCATCTCTGACGAGGAATCTTTCAGTTCTTGTGTCATGGGTGAGCATTTCATTATTAACATTAACATAAATGTTTTCTTAACTTTCCGATATCAATTCAAGTGAGTGATTTGCGTGGAAAAAAGGGAACACGAACATTTCACGGGACTCTAAGATATATGGCTATCGTGAGACTTCTCAAACAAAAAGTAAGTCTTGTTGGTATTAGATGGTTGGAGGCAATCGGCAGGAAGCTTTGCACCTAGGTTCGAATCTCAGAAGGGACATGGGTTCCTTCGAGGTTGCAGATACGCCTTGCTGACGAGTGCCAACTAGCACGAAACCTAGATCCAAGGCTTCCTGTTGATTGCCTCCAACCATCTAATACCAACAGTTCATAGTGCGCCGTGATGGCGAGCCACCTAGCATGGCAACCACATTGCAAGCTTGACTGATAGAATCCAGTCTACAACGAAGATAGAACTAGACATATTACACTAGTTAATTACTCGTGTCCAATCAGAAAGTAAGTCTGTTCTTACTACAAATGTTTCTGCAGTGGTCATAGCTACAGTACCACAGTAAAATGTACAACCTGTTATTAGTGATCCTAGACACACAAGTGGAAAAGTATACTCTAAAATGCAGAATAAAGTTATAGGAGTTTTACTGGCTGCAAAATTCTTCCAAATGCAATTATTTCACACAAGGTTTCATATGGTTACCAACTAGAATTTGAAGTTTTTTAATAGATTATTTGCCAAACAATTTACGGATAGAAATTAGGACTGAGTTATGAATCATGGGCACTACTGATAGTACAGAATGTTTATTGATTCAGTGGTTATCTGCTTACAGTTTATAAGCTATACAGGTTTATCTAAGGATAATGAAAGGATAAGGGATTTAATTAAAACGGGTTTGAACGTCAAGTGGTGGCTAATATTTCCCGAGCTCAATAAACGAATGGATAAAATATCTCTATAACTTGAAAGCTTCCTAATTCTTAATGATTGGAATTAGACCCTTTCTTTATCTGATCTTCTTTCTGCACGTGTAAGAGTTTAGAAAGCAAAATCGCTATCGCCCGTAATAAACCATAGACCGGAAAAACAAAATGACCGGAGATCTAACGACCAAAACCGACTAGTTATGGTCTCAACACAGGAAAAGGATCTCTGCGTCCTACTCTATCGCTGACAAAACATTCTTGAGAGACACACAGTCACAAAATCCTCAAAAGACAGCAAAAAGACAATCACTCATCGTTAAATCTATGTGGTTCTGTTCAACAATAACAGCATCAAAAACTCAAAACTAACTCAACAGTGCCGTTAGGCAGCTATACAGACAAGACAAGTTTCTGAATAAAAAACAAGTAGTGTGGAGCGAAATCAGTCAACCAAAATCCAACCGTAAGAAGTGCCCTAGATATGATTATGAGCAATAGTTTGTGCTCGAAACATGGTCATCAGTTAATATTACTGTACAACACTGTGTGATTTATCAAAATAAAATTACTGTATCCATAATATAGTTATACTCTACCACAGTGCCCAAGTTTTATAATTATGCCCTAGAATCAAGTATGATATTCCCAGCAAGGTGGGATCAAAACTCTCTTCACAAGAATCACACATCAACGCCTCCCGTAGACGGCTCAAGGTCAGAACAACCTTCATTCACTCAAATAAAATCGCACTGTACAACACATCATCAACGTGGTGCACAATCACAAAGAGAAGAGAAGCATTAAGATTAGAGATTAAACAGGGACGAAGACAAATAAATAACAGGGATTCAGTCAACATATCATATGCAATTGTCAGAAGATGGTATGCAGTCGAGGAGGAAAACGGATAATAATTAGAGAGTTAGTTGAAACATTGAAATGAGTATGCATGTTGTGATTAGATCGTTGAGGAGAGATTTTCAAACAATTATTCCGTTATACTTATGATTGCATTTATATTTTCTGTGTGGATGAGTAAAGTGATAATTTTGTCAAAATGCGAATGATCCACTGATAGCAAACATAATTCTGAGGATTTCAAAATTTCTAATGAGTTCAAACTATTCTAAATGTCCTCAAAAACGTCGTATGGATAGTTATTAGGCATCTCATGGTCTGTGCGGCGGAGCGGATGAAGATGTCAAAGCCAGTCAGAATCAGAAAGGCAAGATATGCCTTCATCAGTTTGAAAGCAATTTGGAAATATTCTGCACTCAGTCAGCATAAGGAACAAGATTCGGATTTTCAACACAAAAGTGAAGTCAGTCACCTCTACTGTATGAGTCAGAAACTTGGCCAGCGTGTCACGAAAAGGATTTCAAACATGCAACTGCGGGCTTTTATCAACTGTTGCCTCCTCTGGCTCCATACTGAAGATCAAATGGCCGGTGGAAAGAATAAGTAACAAGAAACTCTGGCTGGGAATAAACCAAGCAAGAGCCGACTGCTCAAAAAACATGTGGAAGAAAATGGAGATGGATTCAGCACACGTCAGTGAGGAGGCCAGTGCTCGAGTGGAATCCAAATGGGAGGCGACGAATGGGACATCCTATTGTGACATGGAGGAGGTCGTGCGAAGGGGAGATGAGAGATTATGGACAATCGTGGACCTAGCTGAACAAGGCGGCAGAAGAAAGGAAAAAGTGAAAATATGCTGTTGAAGCCCCATGTTCCACCCTGAACCCAAGGGAATAATGTTAATGATAATCATGGTGCGTGTTATTTCGGGACAGATACTATTGGGTCTCCTTCTTAAAATCATTTTATACCACAATTAATGTGATCTATTATTCTAGATCACTAGAAGTAATACAAGGAATTTTTTCTTACCTACATCAATGCCGAATTTTCCCATAACTGATGATGAAACTGATTTTACTACCAAGAAATTCATCGGCTGGTTTGGAAGTATCAGCTGGTCACAACTGTTGTATACAGCCTCATGTTATCGTCTGTCAAATCGGCTGGCATAGCAGTTTGTTAGAAAATCACTGGCTATTATGCAACAGAAAGTGGAAAATCAATTCATTTGGCAACTGACACACAACCAACTGAAATTTTGTCTAGTTGATGACTTTAGAATTCTGACAAAGAATTTTAGTGAAAATGCTAAAAATTTAAACAGTGAAAAGATTCAACGGAGTCGAGAATAAACCCTGAGTTCACTAACCGCATGCAGACAGATACTTAACTTGTGGTATATCTAATGAATGACTAGCTCAACGATTCCATTATTATTGTTTAAATGTTTCTTGTTATTTGTTTCTATTTATTAAAAACTCAGTGTCTAAATAATCCACAAATCATTATGGATTTGTGGCTAAAAAGTGCCTTAACAACCTGTTAGAAAACATACACAATATCATTTATGCAAGAAGATTCTATCCAATTTAAACTGAGGGAATCTGATTGCTATAATGTTTTAATTAGTGCTTTTCACCATAGAGAGTCTTTGTACAACTTATGTGTTACAACACTCTCCGCTTTAGTCATTAGGCAGTGCGCATTTGAAATGCTTCTAGGAAAAAAGTGTTTTCTTTCATACTTCATTTTCACTTTTAATTATATAACATACCATAAATAATGTCAAGTCGAATTCTTGATGAATTCACCTGGGTATATTAGACATTTGTAAATATACAACTTTGTGCGCACGCCTACTGATAGGTCAGTGTTATGATTACCTTAACAAAATATTCGTAAAATATAACATAAATGGCTTAGTGATAATTCTAGACATAATCAAAACTTGATTGAAGTGGATGAAATTATAGAAGTTATGGTTTTACTGACCTCAAGTCATACACACGTGCATATTAGTTGATAAGCATACATACAATTGTGAATGAGCGTCAGACCGACACATCAGACAAACTTCGAATCATGATTATTTTAGACTTCGTTTACAGCACCAACCCGATAAAACAAACATACATAATTATATTCTTACTTGAATAATCGACTTTTTGTGCACATATATATACGTATATATATATATATATATATATATATATATGACTGGATTTCGTATGTACAAGTAGCATAAAATTATGACACAATTGAGCATCAACACTTGGATGAATAAATAGGGAATTTTGTGCGAAGTAATATTCTGACATCCACTTGTAATTTCACAGTGGATATATGACTTTAGACAGAACAAACTAAGATCTCTTTTCATATCAAAACAATATTCCGAGGAAATTAATTCTTATGTTAACTTTCTGGTTGCGATTTGAACATGTCAGTCATTTTAAATTATTTATATAGTACCTATTCATTGATATTATCACCATCACCCATCTTCTTTTCAATTCTGATTCTGTTGTCTGATTTCCTACTGCATTCATCCAACTCTAGTCATCAGAGATTTCAAAATGGACCACAGAAGTTTGCTATTATAACAACTGGTGGAGTGCCTAAACCTTATTTTTCACCAAATAAAGATTTATATGATAGCGATTATTCACGAAAAGTAAATGTTAAAGTTAGTGATATTTTAACTAGACAAGCTGCAGCTGCTGCCTCCTCGTCTTACTTGTCTACCCCGCCAGTCTCAAATTCCGCAAACAAAGTGAATGGAAAACTAGCAAGATCCGAGCAATCATTAAAACCAACTTCGGAATCACATTCTGGTGGAACCGGTTCTACTGGCAATCAGAGGGCTCAGATTGTTGTTAAACCTTCTGGAAATATTGACAAGAATTCCTTACTCTTACCATCCAAAGCTTCCCAACACTCAATTGTCAATGAAGACCGTTCATGGCCACCTGAACATTCACATGAATTTGAAAGAGTTGATGTACGCGTGCTGGGTGAACGAATTGACAGTAAAGCACTTCTTCATTTGCGTCCAAGCTCTTCTGCAGCATCAGTGCGTAAATTACGTCGAATTCTAGGGTCCGATTTACAAAACGAGTGGATGTCTATAGAAACTCCACTGAATTCTCTGACGTCGTCTAGTAAAAGTACACGGTCCACGCTATCATCTAATATTCCTAAGCCTGATAACCATTTACTAACTGCAGTAGAAGACTTGAATTTCACTGTATTTCGTTCCGTCAATGATGACGGATTAATTTATCCAATCAAAATGACTAATGATCAAGTGAATGTAATAAAAATGTGGTTACTACAACGAGCAACATGCCCAATGGAATATATATGGGAAGATTTAGGACCATTATTTTGGCCTAGATGGATTAGACGAGTAGTTTGCATTAATACACATTCTTGTTCCTGGCCACCTGGTATGCGCTGTCGCTCGAGTGGTTCACGAGCATTGAAGTTACTGCGATGGGTAAGGAGAGTATATTTTGGTTTCATTTCGGTATATAATTCATTATTAAAGAGTCAACACTTTATAATGGAAGGAAGTATTTATGAGTAAACATTATAAATACCTCCAAAAATTAATCAGGTGCGACAGACTTGCACTTACACAAATTTCTGTGACCCATTTGAATTTGATTTCCTTAGACTACAGTTACATTCTTCATTATTTCATAAGTGCACGAAAATAATTCATAACTCTGGCAGTTAAAAACTGTAAGTAATGTATCTCTTCAAAATGGGTAAACTGCTCAAATGACAACAAAAGACAGTATGTTTGAGTCAAGTGACATTAATTAAATGTGGAATTCTCAAGGGAAAAATAAAAATTCCGAACTTTCTCGATGGTTTTGAATCTAGGAAAAATTATTCATTGAACTCTCTTTTTCCACTGAGTGCTTCTTGAAGTTTTGTTAATTTACAGTGATAGTTATCCTTCATTTTTTAAAACGTTTGCAAATGTCAGTTAATATCAGTAAAAACCACGATTGATATCATTAAATAGCCTGAATAAATGTGCCTTTCATTCTCATATTGCTTCTTCAAGGAGCCTGTTGTCAATATAGACTGCTGTAAAGTATATTTGAATTTGCAGCTGATTCTTTTCAACTAAGTATTGTGTATTCCAAGCTTGAACTGCAAGTAGGAAATCTAGTTTAAGTAAATTTATTCAAAGATATTTTTAGTATGCAAACATGTTTCAATAACAACTGCTTAAGAATTGATTTTGCCAAATACTTCCCAAAACTTCCATTTTTTTCAGCACCAGTAATAGTGCCATTTAGCAACACATTATAAGTGTTTTTATAACATTATACAGCATTAACATCTGGTTTCTCTTTCAGAAATCACAATGATAAATTTGTAGTATTTTCTGTAAAATTCATTTCACAAGTACCTTTGCAGTTATTTGCTACTCTCATGAATACTGATGACTTATATGCTGTATGTAGGTTTACTTTCGGGTAGTAGAATAGTACAGTTTAAGGTTCACTGATGAGTTGTTTTAACACTGTCGACTTCTATGGTAAGAAGAGGATATTGACTGTCATTATAATATCTAAATTCTAAAATATGAAGTAATTAAAACCGCTTGTAAAACAGAAACTAAAGATAAGCTTTAAAAATCAGGTTGAAACCAAGAACCAAGCTAAAAATCTATTAATCTTATTTTGAAATAAGTGTTGAAAGGAAAACAACTTTGTAAGCATACAATTCATCATCTTTTTTGACAAACTCACTGACCTGTTCTCGAGCTAGTAGACTTTGTTCAAAGAAATAACTACTTTATAGGTAATTTTATCCTTTATCACTTTTACTAGTCAAAACAACTGTTATTTTGTTTACAATTCAAGACTGGAGAAGTATGCTGGTCATACCTGTGTGCTTTTCATTAAATACTGATACAAACAATAAGAAGCCAAGGCAACACCAGAAGTTTGACTAGTGGCTGGAATAGCTCACTTTATATTAGAGAAAAACTGCTCTTCTATTATGAAATGCTATTATGCTGGCAACAAACACTGACGTTCATCAATCTTAAGGGGTCTTAGTTTTAGCATTGCGTGTTTTCTTTGAGTGGTGGCTTGGATCTAGATATTAGTAACTTTACACTTTGAATATATCTGTTGGTTTTTTATAATTTTATATTCCATTACGTTTCCAGTGGAACATAGGGCTTCAAGCTAGAGGCTTGAAGTTTCGGTAGCAAAGGTGTCTACTTGGTCAGGATGGCGTTACTAGCCTCATGCACAACCTTCCCTCTTGGCCAGTCATATAACTGGCCTTAGCGAGGCAGAGGAGTGTTCTGGCCGAAGATCGAACTCCGGACAGCCTGCATCGCTGGCGAGGATTCTACCGCTGTGCCACCGACGCACATATCTGTTGATACTCAAGCGTAAAAGATAGCTGCCAAATGTTTTTGTGAATATGTTATCATATGTCTAATTCTCACTAGATTCCCAAATTTCAAAATAAGTTAATATTTCTAAGATGAATATAGTCTCTAAATACCCGTTTACAAGGCGAATTTCTCAAAATAATCGTGCCCTGAATTTCTCGACAGTAATTAACTATAAAGCATAAATCTATTGCTAAACGGGTACTAAAAGGAAACAAATATAATCAACTGTTAAATTCTGGATGTTATAGGATCGCTACCATTTAATCCGATGATCTTAGGATCGATCTTTTATGATTTCGGAATATGTACATCGAAAGGTTTCTGAAGCAAAAGAAAAAAAAGTGATTGTTCACTAATGTTTATCTTTCAGTAGTCTTTTGCTTGAGGCCTTTTAGTTATGATACGCACTTAAGAATCATCCAGATCCTAAGAAATCCAACATCAAAAAGTGCAATTACTTTTCAGTAGTTATGAAGAAAACTGAATTTTTGTAACAAAGGGGATCTCTAGAAAGTAAACTAATGTGTTTTTCAAGCTTCAATGCCTTATCTTTTGATGGAAAATATTTTATTCTCATTATCTGCAGAATTAATAATTATAACTAACCATAAAGACCGTGAATTTTCCTTTGCAGTTATGTATGGTATCATCATTTTTAAAATGAATCTTGCCAACGACACTATTCACTGTGTTTTTTATGATTAGGTGGATACTTTACCAGCTAATATATGAAATCTCCTCAAAAACAGGATGCATATTAATGAAAAACTACATTCACAACTGTATAAAAATAGTATCACTTATGGAGTTTTCCTTAATTGGTAACGTTTGAAAATATATAAATTACAATTATTACTGAAGCTACCATGTAAGCCTATCAAAACGATAATTGTTAACATAACATGACTTTAAATAGTATTATAGCACAGGCATCTTGTAACAAAATAACTAAACTTTTATCTACAGTCTTGGTACACTTCTCTTTATCTTACAAAGACTGCCTTATGGTTATCGATTGACTATCTTTCAGGTTAAAGTTTTCTTTCAAAATGTGTTGAATACAAATTATAACACTATCATTAAGCACATTTCATTTGTATAGTAACCTTAAAAAGACTCCACTGAGAAACTTAGAACTTTGTATAAGGAAAATTGGCATTGTGGGACATCTTTTTCCATATATTCCTTTTTAAAGAATTTTCACAATTCTTCCCATCAGTAAACTTGGACAAACTAAGAACGAGAAATGTATCAAAGTAACATGGGTCTTGTTTTTTTGAAATCGCGGCTTCTTCTCAAATGGTCACAACTTGGAAAATATGAAAATATAAATTACACAATAGTTTTTTAAATTATTACGAATTCAAAAGGATAATTAGACGAATATTCTTAGAAAATTACAAAGTTCAAAATTTCTGGTGCGAAACAAAGTTTAACGCATCTCTTCCCAGTACTTATGTCGCTGAGTCTCCTAGTGGCCTTACGGTGAAGCGTAATAATAATAATTTCTTTTATTCTAAAACAACCTGGAGTTCTCAGCACTTCGTACATAAAAAAATTACATAGCATAGGTAAACAAAGTTGATAACAGGAACATTTTTTGGTGCTTACAGTAACAACAATGTGAAACATTTGCAAAAAGTATAAAGTGGTAATTATTATAATAACTAAGACCATTTAAAGTGGTGTCACTATAAATTACAGATGGCAGACGATCAAATAGTCGTTCATTTTGTTCATCATACAGTGAGTCATAAGTTTCACGCTTAACACTTTCCCCATCTCAGAGATGGCGGGTCAAATATGATATCGTTGAGTTTTTGTAATTAATTGTGAGAGCATATAATCTTTTGTAATGACTTCTTTTGCTACCTAATTAGATACATGGGGAGAATTGCAGATAAAGAGGGTACTGAGAGTCAGAAAGTATGGCTTATACTCCTTTCCTTGCATGAGTTCAGATGTCTATTGGCTATAATAGTAACGGGCTGACTCAGCGCCACGCTGCCTATCCTACTGACAGCCTTTGACACCCTTCATAATATGACATAGCCCAAAGGAGTAGATTCACCTCAAGTTATTCGAACAGTGCATAAGTACATGCTGTTGTCGATGCGATTCTACAAGTCCGTGGGCCTATGCAAATCGCTACCATCACCGAAAAATCTTTACGCTTTGCGGGATCTAAATTCAAGTACATTAAAGACCTTATTTCTTAAAGTGCTTTCACTTGCATTCAAATTCTAGATTCCAATGAAATTCACTAACAAAACTGACACTAAAACCCATTTGGAAATTCCACATCACCAATGGTTTCAATCTCGACTTATCGATATGGCCGGTAAATATATTTTATAACCATATCCGCAATCTACAGTTTCACCGAAAGATCATCAAACAGCACTAATAAACCTAACTCACAATGATTCTGTTGTTATTCTCTCATTTGACAAGACTGTTATGGATAAAGACGACTATATGTAAAATATCTAGTTAATTCTCAATAAAGAATCAGTATTTCGAATTCGTCATCTGAAGAAAGATGTAACCGAATCCATGAAGAGACGAATTATCAAGAAACTCTGCGAACTTTTAAAGTTGCTTGGTAGCAGGATACAAAATGAATTGAAGACTGGAGAAAGGACAATACCCTACCTGAATGATCTACAGACGCTCATAAACCTAAAGGTCCTATGAAACCATTACTATCCATGGTTAGTTAAGCAAATCAGTAAACATTCCGGTGGTTGGAGTTAGCAGGCGCCAAGTAAGCTATTAACAGCTTCAAAGACCCCCTTCAGTTCATCAAAGTACTAGAAAATTTGAAAATCTTGAAAAAATACATGGTATCATTTGATGTGTCTTCCCTCTTTACAAAGACCCTATTAGACGAGACTGAAGCCGTTATCTGTCAGTGTGCTGACATTCAACCTCCACCACACAACTAACTCAAACAGCTTCTACTAATGTGCAGTAAAGACATTTTCGGTTCAGCCATCTTCTGTACCTCCTAACTGAAGGAGTTGCTATGGAAAGTTTGAAGGGTACTACTGTGGCAAACAATT